AACACCTGCAGGTGAGCTAAGATAAGCAGATGCATTGATAGCACTGTGGCCACTGGCCCCCACACTGCCCAGGTTAAGGTGATACAGGAAAAAAATATAAAACTGCCAACCTGCTAGATGTCAGACATGCTGAGTTCATGTTCCCTGAAGTTGAAGAATGAATTCTAAGGAAGAGTGGAGGTTAAGAGTGGGAAGATTTATTGGGGAATAGGAGTGTGGACTAGGACTAGCTCCTGAGAGACAGAATAGTTCCCAAAATGGTTGCCCTTTCCTTATCATTTTTAAATTTAGCCCATCACACCACTGTGTAACCCTTGCTGTCCCATTTTTGCTCCACTGTTTTAACAACTGAATCCCTTACTGATGATGTAACAAAGTGGGTACGAGTAGATGCTGGACCTGAGGGTGTAGCTCAGTGGTTGAGTGCTTGTCTAGTATGTGCAGGGACTTGGGTGCCATCCTTAGTAGCGCCTGACTCAGACAGGCCTGAGTTTTAACCCAGATCTCTCTGTCTTATTAGCTTTACAACATTTTGCAAGTTATTTAGTGTGTGACTCAGTTCCCTCACCTTTGAAAGGAGGAATATAATGTTTACTATTTTATAAGATTGTGAGAGAAGAGAAACACCAGTGATGCATATGACCGCACCACCCATATGGATGAATGTTAGCTGTTGTTATTATTGAGGCCCTGAATTATGTTCAGAATCCACCTCTGTCCCTTGCTTTCTATGTATAGCATCCTGTTTATGCCCAACCCCGGAGGGCTAAGTACATTGGGAGCCGTAGTAGAATAATGTTTTTTCCAGAACATGAAAATGATGGGAGAGAAGGAAGGGGAAAAGCCTTGAGGGAGCTGGTTTGTAGGTATGGGCTAGGAGTGGATGCAGACCTCAGGTGCTGTCCTTCTCCAGAATCTGAATCACCAAGTGTGAAGGTTAGGGAAAGCTGCATGGGTCAGATCAAACCTTACCTGGTGCTTAGTGGCTGCAGTTGTCAAGTAGAGGAAATACAGGAAGCCCAGTCCAGACACA